TGGAAAGGCATCTAGCCGTATCACCTAATACGTTCAGCGAAAAACTTTTTGAAGATTCATGGTTGTTTTCACGAAATGGGTAATTTTCCTCGGACAACTTTTTAATTAAATTCAAATAGCAAAGTATTCGGTTTATTCAGTGCTATGCAACTATGTATATGTAAGTAATGTTACGAATGTAGTTAGGTACTCGAATTAAATCCACTTCAAGGTATTTTTCGGCCAATCGAATTTCCCTTAATGGATTATGGAATCCGTTACCGAAATGATTTATCGGCTATTTCGGATGAAATAAAATTTAAATAAAAATGCATTTAACTGAACCGATTAAATGTGTCGTTGACTGCCAATTATATTAATCGGGAAATTAGATAAAATTGTAGATTTTGGACAAAATACTCTTTCCAAACGAAACTCTTCACCTCCACGATTTTGACACATACACACAAAAAAACCAATAAAAGTGAATTAAAAAATTGTTCCGCCTGTATAAAATGTTTGCCTCTGAAGTTATTTTCGAAAAATGTGTTGTAACTTGACTCGTTCCTAAATCTACAGCAGGATCGCACCAAAATAGTTTAAACACTCCCAACTTCTTAATTTGCATTTCATCGCCTGGGTAAAAGACTATCGTATGTTAATTTCGGCAGGTTGTGGGAAATCGCGATTGAAGTTTGGAATGCAATTTCTCAAAATCGCGGAGATAGGTTTTCTCCAAAGTCTCGGAAAATGTTACAAGTTCACAAGATTCTTAAATTATTTAATTTTTAATGTTTATTGTTAATTAGTTTTGAGTTTATGAAGGATCTTCTTTAGTAAAATTTTGTCGTAAGCGTCATTTGTCCACAATTTGGCAGCCACTTTGTATGAAATACGACAAAATGTGATCGAAATTTCTACTAAATCAACGATACTTTTTACTCAATATCTCGGAAATTAAAGGAGATATCCAAAAATGGAGAGCAACAGATATTGATTAGTTTAATATGACTGCATCACTTACTAAATTTTTACTAAATTATCGAAAAAATTGTAGTCAATATCTCGGAAACTAAAGGAGATACCTAAAACACCAATCGAAAGACCTTATTTCAAAATATATAACTGCACCTAGAACTAAAAATCCTCAAAATTGCGCTTATCACAATCTTTTCCTCAGGCGACGATTTATAAAGTACACTCTAAAGAAAAAAATTATGATCGAATGTTTTAAAACAAAGCCAAAACTCTCACAATCATATATTTCAATTTTGCTAAACGATGAGTGAATGAAGAGAATAAGTCGCTCACGCGTCTGATGCAAACAGTGTTGTCAACGATTTCGAGTTGCATATTATAAGAAAAAGGGATTTTTTTATTATGTAAATAGTGTGAAAGGTAGAGATTATATTAAAGAATTAACCTTTTAATATAGTTATATATATCGTTGGCTTAGTTCGCAAATGTGCTAAGTCCACTTTTTATGAAAATTGAGATTTTGATGCAGTAAGATAGCACAACTCATCATTACCAAAAAAGAAAGTTACCGTAATGTCGTTCTTACTTGTTGTTATGCAGTGGTACGCAAATGTGCTAAGTCCAAAAAAATCAAGAAAAANGTCGTAAGCGTCATTTGTCCACAATTTGGCAGCCACTTTGTATGAAATACGACAAAATGTGATCGAAATTTCTACTAAATCAACGATACTTTTTACTCAATATCTCGGAAATTAAAGGAGATATCCAAAAATGGAGAGCAACAGATATTGATTAGTTTAATATGACTGCATCACTTACTAAATTTTTACTAAATTATCGAAAAAATTGTAGTCAATATCTCGGAAACTAAAGGAGATACCTAAAACACCAATCGAAAGACCTTATTTCAAAATATATAACTGCACCTAGAACTAAAAATCCTCAAAATTGCGCTTATCACAATCTTTTCCTCAGGCGACGATTTATAAAGTACACTCTAAAGAAAAAAATTATGATCGAATGTTTTAAAACAAAGCCAAAACTCTCACAATCATATATTTCAATTTTGCTAAACGATGAGTGAATGAAGAGAATAAGTCGCTCACGCGTCTGATGCAAACAGTGTTGTCAACGATTTCGAGTTGCATATTATAAGAAAAAGGGATTTTTTTATTATGTAAATAGTGTGAAAGGTAGAGATTATATTAAAGAATTAACCTTTTAATATAGTTATATATATCGTTGGCTTAGTTCGCAAATGTGCTAAGTCCACTTTTTATGAAAATTGAGATTTTGATGCAGTAAGATAGCACAACTCATCATTACCAAAAAAGAAAGTTACCGTAATGTCGTTCTTACTTGTTGTTATGCAGTGGTACGCAAATGTGCTAAGTCCAAAAAAATCAAGAAAAATATATACACAGTGGTAAGTTTTTTTAATTTTTTCGATAGAGCGATACAAATTTCAGAATAATTAGTAACAAGCAGCCCAGGCTTTGGCTTTCATCTACAAATTATTTTTTTATGTTTTAGTTCACTCCATCGTAAAAGCGTGTTTTTAGTTTCTTAAACTAGAATTATAAAGTTATTTTAATTTCAAACACAGAGTTATATCTCATTTCTGGGAAAACATTGGTAAATTGGTTATTTAATTAGGAGATTGTCATGGATTCTGCTGATAAAAATAACAATGGTAATGAGGCTTATGGAATTGAATCGGATGACGGCGTTATAGGATTAGTTCCGTATGGTTTTAACACTGATTCCGATGATTCGTACGAGTTACCCTCGACATCAAAAAGACGAAAAAAGAGAAACCGTGTTGAAAATCCTAATTGGTTTAAGATCAGAAATAAAAAACGTAGAGAAAAAGGTAAATGTTATTTGGGAAAACAAAAAGTCGGTAGCAGCTGGAATTATGAAAAGACGAAAGAACCACGGACATTAAAGGAAAGATGTAGCTGTAAAAAAAATACCGTTATAAAGTGTGCACAAATTACTGATGAGGATAGAAAAAAAATATTTAAAGAATTTTGGCAAATGNAATAGAAATATTGATGTCCCTTCTGATTACATTGGTATATGTAAAACAGCTCGAAAAAAGCCAGAACCGTATGATGTCACTTGTTTGGATTATACGTTTTTTTAAAAATTTTAATACAGTTCAATTTTATAAAACTATAAGACCTGGACGCGGTAAAGGTGATGCCAAAGTTACGGATATTCGGGGCATTAAATACACTCCAAATAGTGAAATATATTTTAAACTTCGATTTTCTGATGCCTGGAAAATTTTACCTCAAAAAATGAATAAAAGTATCGACGCTATGGAGTTTCAAATTTGCAACAACTTTACCTAGAAAGAAGAAAACTAACTGCTAAAAAATACGAAGATTTGCAATTTTTAAAATCAATCTTAACCAAAGACCACCATACGTTTTATGATGATTTACCTCACCAATGATTTGCTCTTTAATTTTTATTTATTTTCTTTTATACATAAATGGTACATCAAATTACAACTTAAAATAGTTATATTTTTAACAGCAATGAAATAAGATTGTTTTAGGTTATTATTCATTTTAAAACAATTAAATATATTTAAAATAAACAACCAAATCTTTTAACAATACAAAATAATGAAAAACAAGTTGATAAAAAATGTGCTAAGTCCACATTAAAAGAACAAAATCATAAGGAGAAAATGTGCTAAGTCCCAAAAGAGCCTATAAGTCTGCAACAGCTTTATTTTGAAATTGGCCGATTATTGGTACTGAAGCAAGACGAACTAAGGAAGAAAACTGCATTTACAGATCAGGAAAATATTAACAACAAAAAAAGTTAGACGGTTTTTTGTCCCTCCTGAAAAATTAAAAAAAATGGACTTAGCACGTTTGCGAACTAAGCCAACGATATATATAGTGGCGCTATACAGGCGCTTAACGAAAAAGTTTGTCATCCGTGCGATTTCTTCATGAAACACCAAACATTGTGCCCTCACTTCCATATTAAACACTTTAACGTGTCTTGCAGCGACTTGATGGCTTGAAAGTTTCGCATCGATTGAGCACGATCGCAGCAAAACCATAATCGTCGGTATCACTGATTCATAGAGTATGCGCATGTATGTGTGAAAGCAGCGCAGTTTTTCTCGTGTGCGTGTTAAAGCAGAAGAGAAAAATTTGGCACGCGTGCCCTTGAAATGGCCACCCTTGTTTTAAAATATCGACTTTTATGAAGTGGCCCCGATGTCAAAAGAAAAGAGTTATATTTGTATAAAAAAGTTTATAAGTAAGGTAAAATTTAAAGCAAAAAATCATGATGTGTAGTTTTAAAATGTTCTAATGTAACAAGAAATACGAAAGGGACCCACAATCAGTCAGATTCTGCAATTCACTACCGAGTGATTGCTGTGGTTTGCTACTGAGCACAACTGAATAACTGAATATTTTCTTCATCTACCTCAAGCAAGCAATTTTTAATACCCTCTTCAACACCATAGTGAAAATATTCTCCAGGGTTTCTTTGGCCAGTACCAATTATTTATTTTATTTTTTTGTTTATAGTCTACAGATTTATTTTCACAGTGGGAGATTTTCGGAATTTAACGGTACTTTATTTTCAGGCACATCACATTTAACAAAACAAGGGATTACGATAATATGTTGTACAATTGTACTTATTTTTAACCGACTTCACAAAAAGGAGAAGGTTATCAATTCGACGGAATATTTTTTTTTATGTACGTTACCGCATAACTTTGGACCACGTCAACCGTTTTCTATCGGAAAGGTAGTGTCTCACAGGCGGTGCCATACTAATTTTGTTTAGATCCGATCACTTGATCATGAAAAAATTAACGGTACTCCAAAATTTTTTATACATATCAGATTGAAGATGGTTGTGTTTTTTGCTTAAAAATTACTTGTTAATAATGGAAGACCCACGCTCCGTTCCGACCAATCAATTGTGTTCGATCCGACACTAATTTCGTATGTCTAACTGGTTTGCGGAGATTGTTGAGCGGCCTTAATTTTTTACAGATATTCACCGTAGATGCGAGAAATCACGGCGACAGTCCTCATACACCTGAGCACAGTTCAGCTCATATGGCTGTAGATAGTATCGAACTAATGAGAAAACAAGGAATGGCAAAAGCTTGTGTAATGGGACATAGTATGGGAGGCAGAACGATGATGCACTTAGCTCTTAAACATGTAGGTATTTTAGATTATCCAAAGCAAATATCAAAACCATTTCTTACATGTCTTTTCTCTTTGTTTCGCAGCCCGAATTAATCGACCGTGCCATAATTGTGGATATATCTCCTATTGCTTTGCCAAGAGACTTCCACACTATGGAAAATATTTTCAAAGCCATGGCAAATGTTGATATACCTGCAAAACATTCCTTGGGACAAGGGCGTAAAATAGCTCAAGAACAAATAAAGGAAGCAGTTGGAGACCAATCAACTGTTGAATTTATATTAATGAATTTAAAAAAGCGGGACAATGGAGAGTATGTATAACACTTACATAAGTTTAATTCTAATTAAGCTTAACTTGGAATAGTCACACCTCAAACAAATTTCGTAATGATCACGCGGAGTCTGGTGGACCCAAGCAAACATACAGAGGTTCTATTTCTTGTATCGACTCAAATCTTGGGCCTTACTTTAGTTTAATACAAAAGTAAATACATATGCCCGTTCAAATCGATTTGTGCAGACCGACTGACGCCACACTGACTTTCCAAATAGCCTGAAATAATTAAATTAAACTCCGCTAATAACATGAAGTGCATTTCTCTCATACGATAATATTAGTTATCGATTACTTGAACGTAAACGGAAGTTCTCATTATAGTTATTTAAAGTAGAAAACCGCTTATCGTCATTCTGCAAAACCGCGTAACTGACATTTGCTGCCAAAAATTGGATTTGATCACACAAGCTCTGGCTCAATCCTTATCCATTCGTCCTGAAATATTCTAGCCAGAAATGCGATTGCTTTATAAAAAAAGAGAACCATTTTGAAATATGAGTGTTTTTACTATCTAGAAATTAATTTATGCAACCTCACATACGCGGTTTTGTACTTTAAGCGACGCTATGTATGTATTCTTAAAAAAAATTAAACCCACAATTAATAAGTAAAACCAGGGTTTGACTTGCTGACTGCAAAATAGCATAAGATATATATTTTTTTGCTTTTTAAAGCAAACACCTCTTGATCATTTTCAATGCATTTGCAATTCCTTAGCTACGACTAACACAAATAAATCAGCAAAAGCAGACAGCAAAAGCGAAAAAGAGAAATGAAACCAGTTGCTTCAGCTTATTTATTTATTTATTTATTTTGTCTACAGAAAATTGTATTCTTACAGAATATTACATTAATTACAAAGGGTTTTAAAAGTTTAAGCATAAAATAGCTCTTATCGAGATTGCATCTATTGCGATCGCACTATGCAATAAAAAGCAGTCGATCGCCTTAAAAAGATTTCCAATTTATTTGCAATGTATTCCGCCAGTAGTGATGATACGTGCGGTAGTAACGCAGAAAAACGATATCCTAATCCACTGAGCTCATAATCCAAGCTGTCTCCCTCATACGTAGCGCGTGATAACAGTAAGGTTACCATCGTGGACGCCAGTAGGGGCGCCAGTAGATGTACCATTAGGGGTACAATGGAAAGTCGAGATACCAGTAAGGGTACCATTAGGGACGCCAGTAAGGGCGCCGTTAGATGTATCATTAGGTGTACAATCGAAACGCGAGATAAATACTATCCGAGACGCCAGTATGGGCACCATAGGATGAACCATTACATATGCTATAGAACGCTTCGTTGGGATGTTGTATTATTGAGGATATCTTGACGTTAGAAGAACAGACCTATACCCGAATTAACAACAGATCGGTCTGTTCTACACCGAAATGCGGGCACGAAAAACACGGTTACATTATATTTGCCTCAAAACTAAAAGCTACAAATACCAATTACCATTATTTATTTAAAACGCTGAGTATCAAAGTAATCGCAATGCTTATTAAAGTCATGGCATAAGCAACGAAAGGCATCATGCATTTCAAAGTTTGTTTTACAAATGCTTAGCGAAATAGGCTTATAATGTCTTGACGGCCTTAAGGCAATACAAAAGTTGATCTCATTCAGTAAAAAGGGACTACTAACTAGCCCCTTTAAAAAATTTATTATGAATAAAAACCACGAATATGAATAAAACAATACGGCTGTGAAGCGTTGGCAGATTTATAAGCTTCAAACGGTTTTTGTAAGGTGGAAGATTCTTGGACGTGTCCCAAGATAGTTTTTTTAGTGCAAATAATAGAAACTGTTTTTGCACAGATTCTAGTCTGTCACAATGAGTTTGATATCTAGGGCTCCATACAACTGACGCATATTCTAAAATTGGCCGCATACGTCAAGCTGTGAGGTTGTACTTTATTGTGCTCTGATTTGTTGCTTTCTATTTGCTAAGTTTATTGTGCTAATTCTGAGTTAAAGTAGTGATAAAAAGTGCTTATGAGCATCTTAGTGTGAAATAATTGAAGCTAAGTGAAAGTTATTGTGTTTTATATTAAACTAAATTTAATTAAATTTCACTAGCATACATTCTAATATTGCAGAGTCATTTGTTGCTATCATTGTTGTTGCATCCTTTGTAGTTAACTGAATTCATTTTGTTTTTGCACATTTGTTCTACTCTTTTTGTTTACTTCTTCTAGTAATTCTTGTCACAGCTGTTTGCGTTGCGTTTATTAAGTGTCATAATTACAGTGATACTCAGACTGTTCGTTACATTTATTTAAAGCTATTTACATAAGCTCCTTAATTGTTATAATTTATTTTGTTTGTCTTTTTATTAACGAGTGTTATTACATAAATCTTTCAATATGAAGTGCGATCTTGATACTTGCCAAATTAAAAGCGATTCTCAACGCTACTTATCGTGCTGGCTGTGTGATGGTATTTACCATCTGAAATGTTCTGGTTTGACGGGAAGAATTCTGGACGCTATTAATGATGGCAAGGGCTTTCGCTGGTCTTGCGTAAAGTGCAGGTCAACCGAAGTTGATCTTTTCAAGCTATTTAGGCAAACCAGAAATGGTTTTACAGAAATAGGAAGGGAATTGTCGGTACTGACAGAAAAATTTAAGCATTATGAAAATGTGTTTAAATCATTCAAATGCTTAGATACCTTGCAATCTGTTAAGGCTATCCGTGTGTCTAAACGTAAGCGTCTTCATAGTCCATCTAAGGAAATTATTGCCATTGCACGTCAGAATAATCTTCCGACTGACTTAATTAATCTAACTTCTCCATGTCCTCCAGCAGCAGAATCCTCAGCCTCAAAAGAGCGTGTAACGAAATCTGCTTCGGATAATAACGAGCCTGAAGTATCTTCCCCTTCCCCCTTTGAAGTGGTGGCATCATCTTCAAAGCCTCCACCGCCTTCCCTATCCTCAACTACTAACGCAGTAACTCAACCCCTTCCGCCGGTACTCCAGTCTGATACAAGGAAACTAGTTGTGGTTCCGCCCAAGAAGTCAATCTTTGTCTCTAGATTTTCGAGAGACACTACCGAAGACGATATAAAGCCTTATATCTCATCAAAAATTACAACTGTCGACTTAAGCATCAGAAAATTTAATTTTAAATACGAAAGAAACATTGCTTCATTTAAAATTGACGTAAATTTAGATAATTTTAGTGCGCTGCTTAGTAGTTCTTTTTGGCCCCCCGGAGCTTTCGTTCGTGAATTCGAATATAGGCCCAAAAAAGGAAATAACTTAGCTAATATTCCCCGTCATAACACTGAATCAAAAAACTAATTATTAAATCTGCTTTAAGTATTTATTACCAAAATGTAAGAGGCTTAAATACTAAATTAACGAACTTATACCTTAAAGGCCTTGAATGTAAGTAATTATAATATTCTTTCTTTTACTGAAACTTGGTTGAAACCTCATATTTTCAATTCAGAGATTCTTCCAAATAATTATCATAT